AATGTATCTTAATAAATTATATTCAGTATGTAACATAATAATGTTTAATTAAAATTATTAAAAATAAATTAATTGCCAGTTTAAAAAAATTATAAAAAAAATTTAATTTCAGTTTTTTGCGACGATTTTTTTAGACTTGTCGTCGCAAAATAATAAGATTATTTGCGACGACAATTTGAAATGTCATCGCAAAAAATGATCATATCACGCGAATTTTGTAACGGCGTATTAGCGACGCCTATCGTCGCAAAAACAACATGTCGTCGGAAATACAATTGCGACAACACTTTGTCATCACAAAAGAAGGTTTTGTGACGACACGTCGTCGCAAAAACCGTTAGTTGCGATGACATGCGAGTTTTTGCGACGACAAAAAGTCGTCGCAAAAACCCATTTTTTCTTGTAGTGTGCCCGTTTTGCCCGACTCCAACGGCTCTATTTTTTACCGCTGCCCAAATACAACCCGACCCGCCCGAAAATTTGTTACTGTTGGAGCCGAATGGTTTAGGGGGAAAAAAAATTTCAAGCCAAAAAATTCCCTATAAATACCCCCATCCCCTAACCATTTTCCTCACCCAAAAACTCTCATCCTCTCTTAATTTCTCTCAATCTCTCTTAATCTCGCTCAAATCTCTCTTAATCTCTCTCAAAGCGCTCTCGATCTCTCTTATTTTTCATAATGGATTCTTCCGGTTATGGTGGTTATATTCCCGTTGATGCCCAATTCAACATTGAAGAAGGGTAATTTCTTACTAATGTTTTTCAAACGCAGGAATCGCAAACACTAGAAAGAGCCGCTGAGGAAACTGCAAATCTGAGCCGTGGTGGACGTACTAGAGGTCGTGGACCTCGTGGTCATAATGATGGTAGGGGTGGAGGAGAGGCAAACAGAAGTGCTAGTGTAAGTGTTGCAAGTTTCAAGAAGAAATGCAAGCGCACCTCAACAGGTTAGGAGCACTTCAACACATTCAAGGAGGTCGACAATAACGGTAACATTAAATACATAGCTCAATGCAAATATTGTGGTGATAAATTACAAGGTAACACTATTCACGGCACAACACACTTGAGAAGACACTCTGAAAAGTGTCTTCAAAAGTAGGGAAGGGGACCCAATCTCCGTCAAACACAATTATCATTTGAATGTCAAACCGGCGGTCTAACCACTTAGAAATACGATCCGTAAGTCGATTGTATAGAAATGGCACAATTAGTAGCCACATTAGATCATCCACTTAGTTTTATCGAACAAAGAAATTGACAGTGTTATATTAAAATTGTACATAATCCTAATGCACAATTTTTTTCAAGAACTACTCTTAGGAAATATGCATTAAAATTATATAAACATGAAAATGAAGCATTAATCAACCTTTTACACTCTACTAGTGGTTGCGTTACGTTAACAGCGGATATTTGGTCCGCCGTTGCCAACAAAGATTATTTAGCTGTACCCAGACATTATTTTAAAGGTTTTGATTTAGATAAGAGAATATTAGGCTTTAAATGTGTTCTAGGATCACATACTGCTGATTTAATATATAATACAAATTTATCTGTCATTGATGAATATAGTTTAAGGGATAGAGTAATGGCTATAACATTAGATAATGCTACTGTAAATACTAAAGCAATATAACTTTTTAAAAATGATTTAAGTTTATTCGGTAATAATGATATATTTTACTAACGTTGTGCATGCCATGTAATTAATTTAATAGTAAAATCCGGTTTAAAATTAATGTCAGGTCATATTAAAAGAATTAGAGATAACATTGCATGAATTCAAGGTAGTAATCAAAGAATACAGATTGGTTTAGGTTTCTACAAGCATGTAATCAAAATCCTAGAGCATTAGCCTTAGATATGCCCGTAAGATGGAACTCCACTTATATAATGCTTGAACAATGCATCCCCTATAAAGATGTTATAACAAACTATGTTAGTGCAAAATTGAGATCAAGATTTATAGACGAAACTGATTATCAAATTGCCGAACCCTTGTATGACTTTTTAGGTAGATTTCACGAAGTTACTTTAAAACTTAGTGAAACATATTACCTAATGTCACCATTAGCGTTATGAGAACTTTTAAGAATAGCTATTTTATTTAGTGAATTTAGGACACACGAGGTTTTAGGAGTTCCTATCGCTTCTATGTAAAAGAAGTTTAAAAAATATTGGGCTAAATTACCAATGTTGTATGGTTTCGGTGTTATTTTTTATCGTAGACTAAAATTAGAAGGTTTAGAAAGTGGATTAGAAAACTTATGTGACTTTTTAGATATCGACTGTTCTGACCAATTTCCTATTATAAAGGAAAAAATATTATCTCTCTATAGCTCTTATGAAAGTAGGTTTATAAACCCAACTCGTGTAGAATAACTGCAACAACGAGACGACAATCTGAATTCATTCTTGAATGTTTTCGGGTTAAAGAAGACGATGACGATGACGACGATGACTGAAGGTCAAGAAGAATCTGAGAGTGGATCTTCATCAAGAGATGGCGGCAACAGCGGCGGCTTTAACGAGTTAATGGCGTACCTGAGTGAGGGCTTAGTAGTCGACAATAGTGAAATATTTGATTTGGTTCAGTGGTGGAGGGCACGCGCATTAACTTGGCCGATCCTAACTCGACTGGCAATGGATATTTTTTTGATCCCAATCTTCACTGTTTTAGCTGCACAAGCCTTCAGTACGACTGGGCGAATACTTGAATAACGTAAAAACGCATTGCAATAGGACATTGTTGAAGCTTTGGTGTGCATAAAGGATTGAGATCGTTCCGACCAACACTTACACGATACAATTTCACCGGCAAGCCAAGAATGGATCGATGAATTTAATAGTTTAACTTTTAATTTTGAAGACGATCATTCAGCTTCAAATTAAATTCTATTATTGTAATTTATAAATATTTATTTACTTTGTACAGTGTTATTGTAATCTTGTATGGACTTTGTGTTGGGAATGGTGTCCTAGAAGCGTGAGATGTAATAGGATATTTATTATTTATTTAATAAAATAGTTTATTCATTATTTTATGTGCATATATTTATGAATATTTTGTGAATATCAATGAAAATTCCATGATTATTTATGTAACCTTAAACACTGTATATAAGTGTTATATACGAGAGGATAATGTTTAAGGATAATAATCAAAAAGCAATGTTCATAATGAATTTAATTAAAGTTCAGAATCTTTAATTAAAA